GGAGGAGGAGGAGAAGGAGAAGGAGAAGGAGAAAGAGAAACCTCCACCATATCAGTATCACTTTCACGCATCCACCAATCAAAAAAAAAAAGAAAGAAAGAAAGAAACTCAGAGAAATGGCGGTCACTGCAATGGGTCCATGCCAGAATCTAGTCATGTATTGTCCAAGTCCCATCAGACTGACACAAGTTTTGGTTCCACCAACAGTGGTCGTCTCTCCAGGAGCCGTCATCAGCAAGCACGTCATCGCAGAGATTGTCTGCCCGCACCAACACTCGTTCCGGCCCAGTGTCGTCATTCAGGTAATGGGAATATCAATAAATAATACATTGTTACAATTGTAGTTGTAATCTTAAGTACCCCATACACGCTCAAATTTGTTTGATGGTTTGATCAAATATGTTTGACACAATATTTTTTTTTATAGGTTTTTGATCGTGTATGGGTGTGTTTAATGGTCTAAATAATTTGATGTCAAATATTTGACGGATCTGTTTTCAGTTCATATTTTTGTCAAACCGTCAAACTGTTTGATCGTGTGTGGGCTTCATCAAATTTATTTGTGCAAACATTATTTTTTCAGTTGCTGCCGGATAGAAAAGATCTACTTTTTACATCATCATGGCGCCATCAAAGAATGAAAAAAAATAAATATATATTCTGGATCTAATTGAAGTGTACCAGAGTTTTCCTGAACTATGGAAAGTTAAAAATAAAGAATACATGTATAGTGACCAAGATAAAAAAAAAGCTGCCTATGACGCTCTGCTGCTGAAATAAAGGGAGCGGTATGCACATACCAAATACGTAGAAAGGAAAAAGAAAATTAATTCAATGCGGACGAGTTTTCGTAGGGAGTTCTCAAAAGTGTGGGGCTGGTGCAGATACCTACGAGCCTTCATCATTTAATTTAGAATTGCCAAATTTTTGGCGCGCATAAACCAATTTTTGGCCCACTTTCTTTTCTTTCTTTTTTCTTCGCAAGGCTAAAGCAAGAGCCAACGCTGTTGGTCCGTCCATTACAAAGTCTTGGCACACACAGATGTTTGCCCCAAAAATTTGAGAGTGTATGGGACACTTTATTCTTAGGCAGGGATGGAGAAAGAGAGAGAGAGAAGAGTAGGAGGGAGAAAGAGAGAGAGAGAGACAAAGTGGGAGGGAGGAGGGAGAGCCAAGAGGAGGGGCGGGGGTGTTTAAGAGTGTGCGTGTGTGCGTGTGTGTGTGTGTGCGTGTGTGTGTGTGTGCGTGTGTGTGTGTGTGTGTGAGTGTGTGTGTGTGTGTGTGTGAGAGAGAGAGAGAGAGTGAGAGAGAGAGAGAAAGAGAAAGAGGGAGAGAGGGAGAGAGAGAGTGTGAGAGGCAGACATACAGACATACAGACAGAGACAGAGGCTGACAGAGACAGAGACACAGAGATCGAGATGGAGAGAAAAGTGAATATTTTACTATTTTACTCAATTCAAATGCTCAATTTTGCTTTGTGTTTTTTGTTTATCTCAGGACATCCACGGAGCTATCACTTTCATGGTGTTTTATTCCGACACGGAAATGTACACATCGACAGAGCCTACGTACCCACATCTACAGCCGGAAGTTCCGGTGGTTCCACTGAAAGATTGCTTAGTACCTGGCAACTTCGTGGTCATACATCGGCCAAGCTGGCATTACTTTTCAGATACGACTGTAGGATTTCGCATTGACAACCTTACTGATGTGCATTTCATAACACGATAGGTTGTTTTTTTTTTGTACATGTATTCGAAGATTCTTCGTAGATCCACCATAAATCGTAAACCACAGAATAGATCAGGTTCGAGATAGAATTTTAACTAGCTGAGGTTCGAGTGTTACCTGGGACCCCCTCAATAGAAAGTTTCAATGCTCAGGAATCGAACTCAAGTCTCCCGAGTGCGACAGTGAAGCGCCTGATCGCTACACAACAAATACTGATTGTTTGTATTTTGTTAGGGGGTATGGGGTACAAAAGTGAGAGAAAGAACAAATATTGAGAGAGAGAGAGAGAGAGAGAGAGAGAGAGAGAGAGAGAGAGACAGAGAGAGAGAGAGAGACAGAGAGAGACAGCGAGAGAAAGAGAGAGAGAGACAGAGAGAGACAGAGAGAGAGAGAGAGACAGAGAGAGACAGAGAGAGAGAGAGACAGAGAGACAGAGAGATTTACAAACTCGAGCTGGTAACACACTGTTACTTGTTCTCTTTCGTCTGACCGCGGTTGAAACAAGAAAATGAAATCCCTCTCTGTCTGTCTGTCTGTCTGTCTGTCTGTCTGTCTGTCTGTCTGTCTGTCTGTCTGTCTGTCTGTCTGTCTGTCTGTCTGTCTGGCTCTCTCTCTCTCTCTCTCTCTCTCTCTCTCTCTCTTTATATATATATAGATAGATAGATAGATAGATAGATATATATATATATATATATATATATATACACATAT